ATGTTGTTTATAATATATTTATAGATGGGGTTGTAAATGAAGTAAATGCTAGGTGTTCGGGAGAGTGGGGGATTAAAATTATGGGGAAACAAATTCAAAATGGGGAACTGACACAGTTAATTGTTTGCTGATTGATACAGTGCTTATGGGAGATCCTGAAGAAAAATTGCAAAAGTTTAGTGGAAGAGTTTGAGAATTGTGTAAAGGTAGAAAGTTTAAAGTGAACATAGAAAAGAGTAAGGTGAGAGGTGTATCAAATGATTTCGATAAAGAAAAATTGATATCAAATTGGGAGGAGGATTATGGAAGATAGTGAATTGTTTTCAATACTTGGGAGTTTGACGTTTACGGCGTGATGGGTTTATGAAGGATGAGTTTAATCCATAGAATTGAAGAGGGAAAAAAAGTGAGTGGTGCATTGAGGTTTATGTGGAGTCAAAAACTTATCTATGGAGGCAGAAGAAGGGATGTAATTGAAGTAAAGTAGTATACCCCATCACTCATAACTGGATGTGAAGCATGGTGGTAAATGCAGCAGCGAGGAGAACGTTGGAGGCAGAGGGAATTCCTGTACTAAGGCCAATGTGTGGTGTCAAATTAAGCCTGAAAAATCGGAGTGAGGAAATTAGGAGAAGGTGTGGAGTAATAAAGTAGTCGTCAGAGAGGGCTGAAAGAGGGTTTGATGAGGTGGTTTGGTCATTAGATCGAATGGATAAAGTAGAATGACATGGAGAGCATTTAAAAAATAGTAGAGAATAATGCGGGGTAGGGTCGTCCTCGAAAAGGTTGGAAGGAAGGTGTAAGGGAGCTTTTGTGCAAGGGGCCTTGGACTTTCCAGCAGGCTGCATGAGCGTGATTCGATAGGAGTGAATGGAGACGAAAAGGTATTTGGGACCTGACGAATCTTTGGAGTGTTAGCAGGTAATATTTTAGTGAAGGATTCAGGGAAACCGGTTATTTATTTATATAGCCGACTTGAGTCCTGTAAATGGAGAAGTAACAATGCCTACACTCTAAATGATGGGTTTCGGATATGAGCAGTTTGGAGGGATATTTGTGTAACTTTTACGTATATGCTGCTAAACTGTTTTGTTCTGACACCTCTGCAAAAACATGATTTGTGTGAGTTAAGGTGAAAGTGTATGAATGATGATGAAAGTATTTTCTTTTTGCGGATTTTCTTTCTTTTTGGGTCACCCTGCCTCGGTGGGAGACGGCCGACTTGTTAAAAAAAAAAAATGTAGAACACCCTATGCTGTAGTCTCATTGACATGATCCTTTAATTTAATCCTTATTCCCATACTCATTTAACTTCTTCCTTTTATTGCCATAACCTATATCTCAAAATACAGTAGACAGTCAAAATTTGCACATGTTACGTTCCTGAAAACTGCATTAGTAACAACTTCCACAACTTATGGACTGAAAAACATTGGAAAAATAGGGTTGCACTCTTCAGACTAATAAGAGAGGTATAACAAATTTTTTGTCATAAAAATAATTATTCTTACCTAACATTGTTGATGATGATGCTCTGTGAAATACCTGAGCTCTGGTGAGGTTCAGACAGTTAGAAGAGAGTACATTGGCTAAATAATGGTTACTTAATACTGTACATAACTTGTTACTTGCATAACTTGTTACGTCATGAGCTCAGCTCACTCTGATAAGCTGTGAGCGGTAAATTTGGGCCTAGATATGAGAGAGTACATCTATGTGGTATGTGTGCACCACATAAAACAAATCCTGCAGCACATAGTGCATAATGAGATAAAAAAAACTGAGACCGTAATTTTCGATTAAAACCAACTTTGCAGTGTTTTTTCGTATGTTTTTTTATAGTTGTATTTGCGATTTCTTGTTCTCATTTTATAAGAATGGAAGCATCTTCAGAAAAAGAGATGATTTTGATTGGTTTTTGTACTGGAAAGTCTTTGGAAACATGAGCTCAAAAGTAGTGGAACAATGTTAAATTTTTTGCAAGATTTTCAAGATAAACAATGACCTCACACGTCTAATACAGCCCCAGCTGGTTGGGTCTAATATATGTTCACAAGTGTAGGTGATATTATTTATTTATTTTATACAAATTATTGTCAGTGATTGATAACATATATTTTTCTACCTTTTTTGGTTTGAATAAATAATTCATAATGTGAAAAAAAATCAAATGGAATTCTTTAAGTAAAGCCTCAAAAAGTACTAATGAACCAGAGAAATGTTAGTAGTTCAGGGAGAAAAAAAATGCCTCCATTTTATTCTGGACCCTATTTTGAAATTGGAGTAATTTGAACTTTTGCATTAAAAATTGGCCAAATAAAGATACCAATTTCCGATCACTTTATTTTGTATTTGAAACAGTTTACTTGGCAAATTCTTGTCTCATCGATATAGTAGAAGAAGTACTACTGAAATAGAGCTAAGAATTTGGCTGACTGGAATATGTAATTGCCTAAAATGGGAGTCAAAGTCGCATATCGCCGATGCATAAATATCGTTAGACACCGTCAATATTCGCAAGAGCCATAATTCGTCAGTTTCCATCAAATTTCGACTTTTTTGTTTTTATTAACCTTTAGAAAAAGATTCTCTAAAATACCATTTCAATAAGAAAAAATAACAAAATTATTTTTTGAAAATTCTTGACCACTGGTGCCACTCACCTGAAATTTGGCCGTCTGGACCCTGAAAGGGTTTAAAATTATAAGGAACACACCCTGCCTCGGTGGGAGACGGCCGACTTGTTAAAAAAAAAAAAAACATACATTGACCCATGTGGGAGGTTGGTTTACAACCCATCACTTCCCTCACACCCTTACCTGCAGTTCTAAGACAGTGAAGATGCCCAGTGTGTATTGGGGAGGTATCAGGTCTGCCTGCCATGACGCTTCTTAGCGAAAATGCTCACCACCAAGAGAAATTAATTCCGCTACTGCGTACCTTGCTGGAAAGGGGCACACTTCTGTTGGAAATGAAAATGTAAATTTAATTGCACAATATTGAAAACAGAAGCTATGTGCGAGTTAAGTTTTTTTTACCATACAGTTATGAAAAAAGTATATTATTTTCTTGAGCATCTCACCAATCTCTTATTATTTTTTTTATTTCTGTATTTTTTCAAAAAGGCCATTCATCAATTTTAAGTGTTAATGCAAGTAATTTTTTTTTTTACCACCACAAAACCTTTTCACCACAAATCAAAAGTACAAAGTATTCCTGTATTAAATACAGCAATTTAACTAAATTCACTGTGCTTTATGAAATTAATATTTCTCTTGTTTATTTAAACACATTGACTGTTTTCCTACAAGGCATTGTGACCCAAAGAAGGAAAACATTCACCACCTGCATTTTCCTACTATTTTTCCAGAAGTACATTGACATCACAATTCACTGTTTTAATTTTTGTAATATTATGTGGTGTAATAATATTAAGCCAAACAAGCGCTATTGTTTTGCTGTACATTTTGAAGTATGATAGTTAAATAACATGATTTCCTTAAATTGCTTCCAGCCTCCTCCTCACTGCAACAATCACAACCTTATCTTTACACCCATATAAGGTCATTGGTGCCACGTAGACTCTCCATACATTTCGCTTTTTACTTCGTATGTAACATTCTTTGTCTGCCCCAGATGCCTCAGTACACACCACTAAACCTTTCTTCCCCCCTCTTAATTCTATAATTCACAAAGTCCACTCCCAAAAATCTCAACACTATTTCACTTGGCTCCATACTTCCCCTCCAATCTGATATCCAGTATTTCATTACCTAAGTATTGTTGTTGCCCCTCAACACCTTGCTCTTTCCTATGCTCATTTTTAATTTACTTCTATTACATACCCTCCAAATTCTTCCACCAACCTTTGCCAAACTTTTCTTCAGATGCTCCCAAAAGCACAGTGTTCACAGCAATAGACAAACTGTGAACATTTCCCACTTTGTGTTTACATTCTTACGTAGTGTTTTCCAATCCCACATATATTTAAAACCATATTTTCCAACAAAATATCCAGCATCTCTAATTTTACAGTTGAATTAAAAAAGCTCATAATACTGGAAGCATCACACTAAAGGTACAGTACAAGTAAGAGACATAAAGGGATATGAAAAGTAATGGTTGTTAGTCTACAAATTTATAGATTTTTTCTTTCAAATTTTCAAACTTTTTGCACTTTCTGGTATGCAGCCAGCACATGAATGGCACAAGTCCTGTTTAAATCTGCCATAGGGTATAGCAGTAATTATCTTTACTAGAACTACAAATTGCAATAACAATTATCCTATAAATTTTAGAAGTAACACTTCATCAAAATGGCTGTTGATAATAGTTCAGTATATAGATTTTCTTAATTTATTTAGTAACTTGCTTCAGACAATAGTTGATAGGTTGGTAAACAGCAACCGCCCATGGAGGTACTATCGTCCATGCCAAGTGAGTGTACAACGAAAACCTGTATGATTTACATGATGATAGGATTGCTGGTGGTCCTTTTGTCTGTCTCCAGAAACCATGGCCAAGATTTCATGTATGTCTTGCCTACATTCTACTTGCACTTAGGTCACACTACACATACCATGTACAACATAATATACACACACCCCCTGTGGTGGTATTCTTATCTATTTTCTTTCTAGTTCTTGTTCTTGTTTATTTCCTCTTATCTCCATGGGGAAGTGGAACAGGAATTCTTCCTCCGTAGCCATGCATGTTGTAAGAGGCGACTAAAATGCCGGAGCCAATGAGCTAGTAACCCCTTCTCCCGTATAAATTTACTAAATTATAAAAAAGACAGAACTTTCGTTTTTCTTTTTTGGGCCACCCTGTCCCCCCCCCCCGCGTATGGGTGGATATGGCCGGTGTGTGAAAGAAAGAACTTGCTTCAGAATAATACAGTACTAGTATTTGCCTTAGTATCACTTGTATCTCATTTTGCCTTTATATAATTTCTTTAAAAGGGTATTGCAATAATTAAATGTTGACATTTCTTGGTGCAGGACATCTTCTTGCCTCATGTTGAGAATGGCTTGCTTACTCTGGTTGGTGCCACCACAGAAAATCCATCATTTTCGCTTAATTCTGCTTTGCTGTCAAGGTAATTTTGTCTTCAGTGTTTTTATCATTATTTTGAATTTGACCCAAATGCTTCATATTATAATTGAAAATAAAAATTCAAATTTCCTAACTTCAAGAATTTTACTCTATGTTTTTAGTAAATGGCTTCTGATTCAAGGAAATATAACTTAGTGCCTTACCTGAATCATACCTGATATACACATTAAATATGATACGTACAAATAATCCCTTGCCTTAGTCTCTTAGTAACTGCCAGTAGTAAGTTTACTTATCATAACCCTTTCATACAGGGGTGAACAGGGAATGAGCACACAGCAAGGGTGTTTGTGTTTGCAAGTGGCTGAAATAAGCAAAAAATCCAGTTTGCCAAAATTAGTGGACCAAATGCTCTGGGCTTATTTTATCAATACAACTCTTTTTAAATGTTTAAAATTAGGCACTAATATCAGTTGGACATTACAATGCAGGTCTGTGTGGTAAAGTGTGCACTATATAAAAAAAATTCTGCAGCACACAGTTCATAATGAGAAAAAACTGCAACCCTGTTTTTGGTGTAAAACAGCCACTTTGCAGTGTACAGGTCTCCCTCAACATTCGCGAGGGTTAGGGGATCAAGAGCCTCGCGAATGTTGAAAAACCGTGAATGTTTGGTGCCCCAATATATTGTAGGGAAATATATTACAATACTGCTTCCTTAACTTGTTGAACCATGAATAATCATAAAATACATGAAAACGTCGTAAATTGTACTAAATATATACATGTTATGCTTTAATAATGTATGTTATTTAATAACATGTATGTTATTAAATACCACAGACTCCACCACTGCGAGTCCCTACTACCCTCCCTCCGACCCCCGCAACTGGCAGCCAGCCCTCCCACCACTCAGTGTGGTGAGTGTTTTGTTTGTTCATTATTTGCTATTAAACTACAGAATAAATAATGTAAAGCCACTCATGACTGCATATTGGAATGGCTATTAGGAATCAGATCACTTTCTAGTTGTAGCTACACTGAGAGTAAAAGGTAGATGGGATACAAGGAGAATAGAAGCATCAGGGAAGAGAGAGGTGAAGGTTTATAAACTAAAAGAGGAGGCAGTTAGGGTAAGATATAAACAGCTATTGGAGGATAGATGGGCTAATGAGAGCATAGGCAATGGGGTCAAAGAGGTATGGGGTAGGTTTAAAAATGTAGTGTTAGAGTGTTCAGCAGAAGTTTGTGGTTACAGGAAAGTGGGTGCGGGAGGGAAGAGGAGCGATTGGTGGAATGATGATGTAAAGAGAGTAGTAAGGGAAGAAAAAGTTAGCATATGAGAAGTTTTTACAAAGTAGAAGTGATGCAAGGAGGGAAGAGTATATGGAGAAAAAGAGAGAGCTTAAGAGAGTGGTGAAGCAATGTAAAAAGAGAGCAAATGAGAGAGTGGGTGAGATGTTATCAACAAATTTTGTTGAAAATAAGAAAAAGTTTTGGAGTGAGATTAACAAGTTAAGAAAGCCTAGAGAACAAATGGATTTGTCAGTTAAAAATAGGAGAGGAGAGTTATTAAATGGAGAGTTAGAGGTATTGGGAAGATGGAGGGAATATTTTGAGGAATTGTTAAATGTTGATGAAGATAGGGAAGCTGTGATTTCGTGTATAGGACAAGGAGGAATAACATCTTGTAGGAGTGAGGAAGAGCCAGTTGTGAGTGTGGGGAAGTTCGTGAGGCAGTAGGTAAAATGAAAGGGGGTAAGGCAGCCGGGATTGATGGGATAAAGATAGAAATGTTAAAAGCAGGTGGGGATATAGTTTTGGAGTGGTTGGTGCAATTATTTAATAAATGTATGGAAGAGGGTAAGGTACCTAGGGATTGGCAGAGAGCATGCATAGTTCCTTTGTATAAAGGCAAAGGGGATAAAAGAGAGTGCAAAAATTATAGGGGGATAAGTGTTTAAAAACTGTAGTGTAAAGCACCCTTCTGGCAAGACAGTGATGGAGTGAATGATGGTGAAAGTTTTTCTTTTTCGGGCCACCCTGCCTTGGTGGGAATCGGCCAGTGTGATAATAAAATAGTAAAAAAAATAAGTCTGCTGAGTATACCTGGTAAAGTGTATGGTAGAGTTATTATTGAAAGAATTAAGAGTAAGACAGAGAATAGGATAGCAGATGAACAAGGAGGCTTTAGGAAAGGTAGGGGGTGTGTGGACCAGGTGTTTACAGTGAAACATATAAGTGAACAGTATTTAGATAAGGCTAAAGAGGTCTTTGTGGCATTTATGGATTTGGAAAAGGCGTATGACAGGGTGGATAGGGGGGCAATGTGGCAGATGTTGCAAGTGTATGGTGTAGGAGGTAGGTTACTGAAAGCAGTGAAGAGTTTTTACGAAGATAGTGAGGCTCAAGTTAGAGTATGTAGGAAAGAGGGAAATTATTTCCCAGTAAAAGTAGGCCTTAGACAAGGATGTGTGATGTCACCATGGTTGTTTAATATATTTATAGATGGGGTTGTAAGAGAAGTAAATGCGAGGGTCTTGGCAAGAGGCGTGGAGTTAAAAGATAAAGAATCACACGCAAAGTGGGAGTTGTCACAGCTGCTCTTTGCTGATGACACTGTGCTCTTGGGAGATTCTGAAGAGAAGTTGCAGAGATTGGTGGATGAATTTGGTAGGGTGTGCAAAAGAAGAAAATTAAAGGTGAATACAGGATAACAAGAAGATTAGGTGATGAAAGATTGAATATCAGATTGGAGGGAGAGAGTATGGAGGAGGTGAATGTATTCAGATATTTGGGAGTGGACGTGTCAGCGGATGGGTCTATGAAAGATGAGGTGAATCATAGAATTGATGAGGGGAAAAGAGTGAGTGGTGCACTTAGGAGTCTGTGGAGACAAAGAACTTTGTCCTTGGAGGCAAAGAGGGGAATGTATGAGAGTATAGTTTTACCAACGCTCTTATATGGGTGTGAAGCATGGGTGATGAATGTTGCAGCGAGGAGAAGGCTGGAGGCAGTGGAGATGTCATGTCTGAGGTGCGGGATTACCAAAACTGTTGTCCAGAGGGCTGAGGAAGGGTTGTTGAGGTGGTTCGGACATGTAGAGAGAATGGAGCGAAACAGAATGACTTCAAGAGTGTATCAGTCTGTAGTGGAAGGAAGGCGGGGTAGGGGTCAGCCTAGGAAAGGTTGGAGAGAGGGGGTAAAGGAGGTTTTGTGTGCGAGGGGCTTGGACTCCCAGCAGGCATGCGTGAGCGTGTTTGATAGGAGTGAATGGAGACAAATGGTTTTTAATACTTGACGTGCTGTTGGAGTGTGAGCAAAGTAACATTTATGAAGGGGTTCAGGGAAACCGGCAGGCCGGACTTGAGTCCTGGAGATGGGAAGTACAGTGCCTGCACTCTGAAGGAGGGGTATTAATGTTGCAGTTTAAAAACTGTAGTGTAAAGCACCCTTCTGGCAAGACAGTGATGGAGTGAATGATGGTGAAAGTTTTTCTTTTTCGGGCCACCCTGCCTTGGTGGGAATCGGCCATTGTGATAATAAAAATAATAAAATATTAGGAAAGGTATTAGACGGTGACATCATGTGTTTACTCTTGAACACAGCAAATAATCGAATATTTCTGCTATTGCTAATAATAACAATAGTAATAATAATAATAATAATAATACGTATATATGATATAATTGAAGAAGGAAATTGTACAAAAATACGAGGGAGTGGTTGACACATCATCAGTGTGACTTTGTTTATGCTGGAGTGAACATTAATCTCCCTGCTCTTCCAAACATTTCACAATAATTCAGCGGTTGAGGCAGTGGTATTTAATAACATATATGTTATAAATAATAATAGTACATGTTATTATTAATAACATGTATTATTATTAATGTATGTATTTAATAACATATATGTTATAAATAATAATAGTACATATTATTAATAACATGTACAGTGGACCCCCTCATAACGATTACCTCCGAATGCGACCAATTATGTAAGTGTATTTATGTAAGTGCGTTTGTACGTGTATGTTTGGGGGTCTGAAATGGACTAATCTACTTCACAATATTCCTTATGGGAACAAATTCGGTCAGTACTGGCACCTGAACATACTTCTGGAGTGAAAAAATATCGTTAACCGGGGGTCCACTGTATTATTATTAACATGTATGTCATTAAATACCATTGCCTCAATCACTGCCTCTACCACTCCAGCCACACTCAATCTACAAGCATCAAACACAATGAATTATTGTGAAATGTTTGGAAGAGCAGGGAGACTAATGTTCACTCCAGCATAAACAAAGTCACACTGACGATGTGTCAACCACTCCCTCGTATTTTTGTACAATTTCCTTCTTCAATTATATCATATTTATTATTATTATTATTATTATTATTACTATTGTTATTATTAGCTGTAGCAGAAATGTTTAATTCTTTGCAGTGCTCAAGAGTAAACACATGATGTCACCGTCTAATACCTGTCCGAATAGCCATTCCAATATGCAGTCATGAATGGGTTTACATTATTTATACTGTAGTTTAATAGAAAATAATGAACAAACAAAAAACTCACCACACTGAGTGGTGGGAGGGCTGGCTGCCAGTTGCGGGGGTCGGAGGGAGGGTAGTAGGGACTCGCAGGTGGCGGGAAACTTAAATATGATTTGGCGGCTGGGAATTTGGTGGCTGGGAATTTGGCGGTTGGGAATTCGCGAATTTGTGAAGCCCGTGAAAGTTGAAAACGTGAATGTTGAGGGAGACCTGTATTTTCTTATGGTTTATATGGTTGTATTCTTATTTTTTGGGTATCATTTGATAGAAAGGAAGATATATTACAGAAATAGATATGATATTGATTGACATCATGATAGAAAGTATACTGTGAAATTGAGCTCAAAGTAGCATAAATGTTCGATTTCTGCTGATGTTCAAGAGTAAACAAACGACGTCACTGTCCAATACATGTCCAACTGGATGGTCTAATACACAGTCGCATATGGGTTGATGTTATTTATACAATTATTACAATAATGCAGTAGTCTGCATAACAGTAAATCTTCTATTTTTTGTGTGAATAAAAATTCAAAATGGAAAGCAAGCATTATATAAGAAGGGTCAGGAGACATGACTAATGAACAGAGAAAAATT